CGACTGTTTTCTTTTTTTCATTGAGGAAAGTTGGAACGCGTCGAGTTTTTAAACCCAGGCATTGTGAATTTTTTAACAGCTGCTGCTCYGTTAAAGTGCTATTAATGCACAAAAGCTAGGCTCTCCATAATACATGAAATAATAAAGTGGTTATAGACTGAAATATCACAGGAAGTTATCGGGGAAAGGGGGGGAAGGGGGGCCTTCGAATGGTGTGTCGAATGTATGAGGTACAAAATGCACAACAGTGAATAAAATGACTTAAAGAAAAGCAAAGGAAGTGGTTTGAGAGAAGAAACAAAACAAATCAACAGGAATAAGTTTTGTTTTCTATAGGACTTTCTCTTTGTGCAGTTGTACAAAAACATTAAAAAAAATCAGCATTTTAATTCATCTTTTTGCAAACAATGAGATTCTGTTGTCTTCAAGCCATGACCTTCAACGCACCCTTGAAAGGTTCACAAGTGAGTGTGAAGTAGCTGGAAAGAGAGCTGGTTGCTTTAAACCAGAGGTCATTGATCTCAAAAGGAAGAGGGTGGAATGGTTCATGTGTGAGTCTTTACTTATGGTGACGTAGTTTAGGTACATTGGTTTCTTGTTCACTAAAGATGCTACGATGGACAAGGAGATGGACCAACGGATCAAGGCCATGTCTGATAAGAATAAGTAATAAGGGCACTACTCCAGTCTGTTGTAGTAGAGAAGGAGCTGTGACGAAATGCCAAACTGTCAATTTACCGGTGCATTTCTGTTTCATCCCTAACCTAACGTCGTGAGGTGTAGATGGTGACCAAAGAAAACTCAAGATCAGCTTCCTCTGTAGGATAGCTTGGCTCAGCCTTAGAGGTCAGTTGAGAAGCTTCATCAACTGCTCCTCTACAGTGAGTCAGTTTAGACTGGATTACCTGTATTGTAGCAGTGGGGGATATCGGAGTTTTACTCCTGAACTTGTTGCCTCCAAGATTTGATCCTGGATAAGTGGTTGAAAATGAATGGATTGTTAAAAAGTGAAGACACCCTAGAGGTGATCCAAGGAATCCTTATGATAGTTTTGACATTTTGATGGCAGAATTACAGCAAAGCTTCAGCAAACACTAACGTTAGATCCATGTACTTTACGGCCGTTTGTTTTTTCATTTTAAAAAAAGATGTAAAATGGATGGTTATTCTATTTTCATTATAAACTCCAAAAATGGGGAAACTGTTTGTCTTTTTATTTTTCTCAAACTGAAGTTTAACACCACATTCTCAGACCATTTAAGGTGGAGTTAGTTAAATAACTTTTTAATAACATGCAGCTGCCTGTAAATAAATAAATAAATAAATAAATGCTAGCTAAACTATTTGGCGTCTCTTTAACTAACTGCAGACAATGTTATTTATTTAAAAAAATACTAGCTCCACCTTAAATGGTCTGATAATGAGATGACTAAATGTTTTACTTTTCTACTAGCGAACCAGGCAGCCACAAAAAATAAACATTAGCTAACTAGTTTTACACTTTTTCAACAGGTGTCAGCTGATAGTTTGTGTATCAWTGACGATTCAAACTTTTTCCTGGAGTTTCTGGTGCTTTTAACACATGAAGCCTTTCTCCAACAGGTCCACGGCGAGGAACTTGAAGCACGGGACAGCGTTGAATTGCCCCCACAACAGAGTTAAACTTATGGTTTGATAAAAATAAAACAACGAACCATTTTTGGAGTATAAAATGAAARWAGAATAACCATYTGTTTTTAGTTTTTCCATTATCTGTTTTTAAAAGTAAAAAACGAATGATCAAAAAGTACACAGACTCCGTTACATACAAGCATCTTTAGCATCTTTTTCATTTAAAGCCTGAGCAACACTTAACTGTTTGGATATATTTGGTTCAGCTTCATTACTCTGCCTCTTGTTTGCAAAAGTGGCTGATTTTGACATAAATGCTAAGTACCATACAAAACCAAGCACATCTGTTCTCAACTATCACTTGTAATGAAACAAAAGCCAATGCTACACTGTTAATAATAGATGAGTGCATTTTTATTAATGGCACATTTAATACTACTTTGTAAAATGACTAAAAGGGACTGCACAGTTTCAAACTGTTTTATTGACACATTGCAATGAATTAGAATCGACACAAAATGCATGCTAATGATATATTTGACCATTTGGTCTAAATACCCACAGCCAGTTTAAAATGATCATTGAGTATRAAACATTATTTATTGTAAATATTGTGTTATTGTGATGTTAAACTATCATACAACAGTGGAACAACCTACACTGGAATTGCTGCAAGAGCTCAAAACGAGTTCCTTACCAACTGCTCAAATGTCTGAACTGTTTTTAAGTGTGTAAATAGAAGAGATGAGAGAAGTTGTTGATGATCTAAAATATATAAGCCAAGGTTGCCATGGTGATGTTAAGTGCAGTGATATCTGACGGACTAAAAATCAACCAAGACTTTGTTTAAAACTGCTGCCTTTTTCTGAAATATAACCTAGTAGCACAATTTTGCAAGCACAAACGACACAAAGCATCCCTGCATCATCAGTGTGACGTGGGGCATTTTATTGCCTTTTCCACTCAAAACATTTAGAAAAAGCTGACATCATTTCGCCTCTGAAGGGATACAAATACAGCTTCCARTCCTGACAGGGTAAAGCAAATGCATTGGTTGTTTTAAACCACTATTATGAATTTTGAAAAGATAAAATAAAAATGAGGTTTGAAGCATAAACAAACTAAGATTTGTTATTTTCACAATAAAGTCACATGAGCAGGGGGTGGTGGTGGGTGGTATCATTTATCATGTAAGGTGACAGTTTAACTTTAAATCAAGGATTGTTCATACAACGCGTAAATGTTTTTGCATTTCCATCAGAGTAAAACAGTGGAACAGTTTGAGTGGGGAAATCAAGGAATGTCCAAAAAAGTTAATGGGGAGGTATAAAACTATAATTTTTAAATGATGGAATATTTATGTATCTCCCCATGTATACATGATTCTATATATCTATGTGAAGATGTAGGTGTACATATAATGATAGTATAGTATATATGCTGACCAAAAAAAAGACTAATGTCTAGAAAAAGTAATACATCAATGATACTTTAATTGTTATATCATTTATTTATGGCAGGGGTGCCCAAATATTTTCCCCAAGAGAGCTAAGATGAAAATGTATCCGGGGCTGCGGGCCAAATGCAGTAATATAATAATTGAAATACAAATACTTTTTTAAGTAAACTCCTTTATTCAAACACACAATTATACACAACTCTGCTCAGTTGGAGAAAGTCTGCCATACGTTCAAGTAGCAAAGGCTCATGGGACATTAACGTCCCTTGAGCTTTTGCTACTTAGATAAATTCAGCATCATGAGAGAAGATTATCTGTACTACAGCCCCTTATATAGTCATAGGGCCAATAGATGAAATGACTAAGTGGAAATACTGTGTTTCTACATAGGATGACAGGTTACAGCCTAGTAACAATGTCAACAGCTGGTGGGCCAAATCAAATGGCTTGGCGGGCCAAATTTGGCCCGCGGCCCCACTTTGGGCTCCTCTGATTTATGGAGACTGCAGATCTCTTTTTCAAAGGTGGTCTGCGCCTGAAGGCAACCTATTGTACATGTTGTTGGGGATGGGGGAAAGTGGAGTACCTGGAGAAAAAAACCCAC